GGAGGGAGAGAGAAAGCAATGTGGAGAACAGTCTTTGTTCAATAACCCTTTTACTGAGAACAGACAAGCTGCCAGGGGAGACTATAGGTCCTTCCCTCTCCTTCTGGCCATTCTTCCACCACTTGCTAACCCATCTAGCTCATACCTGACAACTCTGCTGCATGTCCATCTGCATCTCCATACTCAAACTCCAGAGTGGGGCAGTCCACAGAGCCCTGTAATGGAAAAATTTTTCTGGTAACTGAGGTAAAGTAGGAAAAGGGGTTGCCAAGGAAAGATTATACCTTTATTTCATCTTCTTCCCCTCTTGGAGACCAAATGGAGACCAATTTTAGATCAGGGAGACAGCTAGATTCTATTTGGGCTTTTCATCCCAAAGGTACCTTCATCCAAGTCAAAACTTGAAGCTCATTGTGGGAGGGGCTGAGGATTCTTATATAGAATCAGAAAGTCTGGGTAAAGGGCAGGATCCCAAACAGATATGAAAGCTACAATCTGTGCCAACAGCTAATCAACATAAACACAGACTAGAGGAACATCTAGCTGAAATATACAAAAATGAGACAGACAGAAACAAAAGAAAACTGGATCCTAGCCTTAGTTCTGTCATCAACTGCCTGACATGGGGCAAGTTCCATGCTGTGGATCATAGTTCCTCATCTATAAAAGGTTCTTCAGTTCTAACATTCCACAACTTTAGAATTGTCATAGAGGGTACCACTTCCACTCTAAGTTGTAGTAAAGGATGGATTGCCTATGTCTAAATTTATAGTTCTATTAAAAATACTGCTTTTTTTTTTCTTTTTTGAGACAATTTCACTCTGTGTCCTGGTTAGAATGCCATAGCTCACAGCAACCTCAAATTTTGGGGCTCAGGTGATCCCCTTGCTCAGCCTCCCAAGTAGTGGGACTATAGGTGCTTGCCAAAACACTTAGCTAGGTTTTGGGTTTTTTTTTTTCTTTTCTCTATTTTTAGTAGAGACGGGCCTCACTTTTGCTCAAGCTGGTCTCAAACTCCTAAGTTCAGGCGATCCACCTGCCTCAGCCTCCCAGAGTTCTAGGATTACAGGTTTAAGCCGCCACCATGCCTGGCCTAAAAATACATTAAATATAATCCCATCTTGTAAATTCTTTAAGCATTTTGAGGTATTTCTTCAAGTATAAATTAATATATATCAATATTTTAAATTCTCAATCTCAGCTCTGTCACATACTATGTGATCTTAGATATAAGTTAACCTCTCTGCTTCAGGATGCTATAAAAAATACACTGGTCTTTGCTCTGGGATTCTGGCACAGAGCCCCCAAAACCCTTAGAATTTCCTAAGTGACAGGATTTTCTATTATTATTAATGAGCCCTTGTCAACCATACCAGAATTTATGCTAATGAGATGACTCATGGTGGGAAAGACCAAGCTCTTGATTTGCGGGTTTAACTGTCAGTAGCATCCCTATCACCAGGGAGGGGAGGAGAACTAGAGATTAAGTTTAGTCACATGGCCAGGGGTTTAATCTTGCCTAAGTAATGAAATCCCATATGAAAACACAGAAACAGAACTAAGCTCAGGCAGCTTTTGAGTTGGTGAACACACACATGTGGTAGGAAGGTGGTGCCCCAGAGAGGGTATGGAAGCTCCACACCAATCTAGCCCCATACTTTGCCCTATGCGTCTCCTCCATTGGCTATTCCTGAGTTGTATTCTCTATAATAAAATTCTAATCATAAGCATATGATTTTGAGTTCTATGACTCACTCTAGCAAATTATGGAACCTGAAGGGAGGGTCATGATAATCCTTAACCTGTAGTTGGCCAGGTGGAAGTAAGTGTGTTTGGCCAAGGACCCCCTACCTGTCCTGGGGGGACTGGGGTCTAAAGTAGGAGCAGCCTTGTAGGACTGAGCTCTTAACTTGTGGGGTCAGTGTTCACTCTGGGTAGTGTCAGAATTGAATTGTAGGATATTCAGGGAGTTGTTGGAAAATGACGTGCTCAGTTTTCTCATCTGTAAAATGAGGATAATAATAGGACTTACTTCATAGGGTCATTATAAGGACTGAATTGAGTTAATGTAGAAAAGGCACTTAGCATACCACCTAGCACTTGTCAGCACTGTGTGGGTGGTTACTCTACTTACAATTTTAATATTACATTATAAAGGCATTCTTCTCATATTATTATGACTATCACTTTAAATGGCTGAATAAGCAGTTATTTATTGGTTTACTTAAATTAAGTTGGTTTTAATTTTTATTATATGCTTGAAGCTAGAACAAATATACTTAATTTTTTTTATATTGAGGATATTTTCTAAGGATAGATTTTTATAAAGGGAATTAATGAATCAAATCTTATGAATATTTTTATTTTGTACATGAGAAGTTGTTTCCCAAAAACATCATATCAATTTATATTGCCAGCAGGCAAACTATATTTAAATTTATTATAGCAAACATTTTCAAACTTTTGGATTAAGGGAACCTGTAGGGAAAAAAGGTGAAGAATGACATAAGATTGTTACTGTTTTATTCAGGTAAGTAGGGATTTTAAAATATCTTTAAAAATATGTATATTTCAAAAAAAATAGTTTAATGCCCCCCATATGAAAGACAGAATCTCAGAATAAATGGCAGTCATTAAAAACATTGTTTTCCAGGCCAGGCCCAGTGGCTCATGCCTGTAATGCTAGCACTTGGAAAACTGAGGCAGGTGGATTGCCTGAGTTCCCAGGTTCAAGACCAGCCTGAGCCAGAGCCAGACCTTTTCCCTAAAAATAGCCGGGTGTTGTGGTGGGCGCCTGTAGTCCAGCTACTCAGGAGGCTGAGGCAAGAGAATCACTTGAGCCCAAGAGTTTGAGGTTGCCATGAGCTACAATACCATGGCATTCTACGGAGGGTGATAAAGTGAGACTCTGTCTTAAAAATGAAACAAAACAGTGTTTTCCAAACTTTTTAGGAGAATTATGTATTTCACGTCATGTCCCAACAAGCATACAGAGGAACAAAATTCAACAAAATTAGCTGGGCATTGTGGTGGGTGCCTGTAGTCCCAGCTACTGGGAGGCTGAGGCAAGATAATCACTTAAGGGCAGCGCCTGTGGCTTAAAGGAATAGGGCGCCGGCCCCATGCCGGAGGTGGCAGGTTCAAACCCAGCCC